GTCCGCTGCCTCTGGGCCAGGCCGCTCGTGCCTCAGCAGCTTTCTCCAGACTGGGCAGTTCCCAAGGCCCTCTTGGCCAGGCCTTTCCAAACGTCCGAACTCAATGTCCTGACAAAATAGCCTTCCTTGGTCATTCTGGCATTTCATCCTTGTCGTCTTACCCATCCACTCTTTCTTTCATTTGTGCAGGGTAACAAATTTTTTATTCAAATAAAAAAAATTGCAATAGCCAAATACCCAGGACAATAAGTAACGATAAAGACTTCAGCTTAGATTTAATAATGTTTCTCATGTATTTGGACAAAGACAATAAAGCCTCCAGGCTCTCTGGGGTGAGTTGTAGAATTTCGAAAGGTTCATTCTATGCACTGACGATTGCTTCTGGGTTATTTTAAGGGGGAAGAATGATTACTGCCAACAGTCCTCAGAATCCGCGATGCACAGCTGACTTGGGAGCTCAGTACATCACCTGCACGCCTCATTATGCCGAAAAGCATCGAGAGTAAGTTAGTCGCTACCTGGAGACTTAGTAGATAGATGTATGTTGTAAAGTGAAATAAATCATCCATTCTAACACATTTAAAACTTTGCCTCTTGCGACAGTGAAATGTTCTTATCACCCTTGTGAAGACTGTATAAGATTACATAAAAGGCTAAATACATATTAGTAATTGGTGTTGGAGATGGCAGATAGTAATGAAAGTCGGTATTTCTAAGCACATTTTAAATGGGGCATATAATACTTTTTTATGTACTTTACTTGACTTCACCTTTATATAGAGAAATAGAAGTTATGAAATTAGCCATAATCTCAGTAGACGATTTACAGATTCTTGAAGGATATTTGTTCTCCCCCTGAATTACAAGTGTTGTTTAACACAGTTTATTGAGTTGGTCATATAAGGATTTATAGCGTGATTTGTTTTTTTAGAAGACAAGACAGTGGTTACAGAGATAATCACACTATACTTTTCCATATAATCATTTCAGATTTTATGAGGAGTTGTTAGCTCATGGGGTTTTGGTGCCTCTGACCTCGCCTATTGAAGGAATGATGGTGAAGGAAGGAGATTGCAACTTTGTGGCACCTCAAGGAATCTCTTCAATTATTAAGCACTACTTGAAAGAATCAGGTGGGACTTGGGTTTTCTCTGCCTTTTAAGTCAAAGTTGTGCATTCAATGTTAGTATCGTATAGAAGATTATAAAAATAGTTATACTCTTTTCTTCTTAAAATCAGTCCTTCCTTCCTCCAAAATAAGCCTGTTATCAGTTTGCAGTGTGTGATTTTTTTATTTTTTTAACAACTTTTCATTTTCCTATTGAGCTGTATGGCTGTCTCCATTTACTACTGTTCTGTTTATATTAGTTTCCTTAAAATATGAATAAAGGGGTTAATTTATATAAACTATTCTGTATTTTTTGTTTCATATCTTTGGTCTATTTTCCACAACAACAAATTTAATTTGCTTTGCTCTCTTTAATAGATGTCCAAAATAGTACAGTATGTGTATATAATCATTCATTCAACTTTCTTATATGTATTTATATTTTGAGGAATGGGGGCTATCTTGATTTTTGAGTAAACAAAAACAGTTTTCCATCCTTCAACTTGATATGGCTGTAGAATTCTAACAAGTTGTGCTTCTCTTAAAGACCATCTCATCAGTAGTGAATGAGAATTTCCTCACATCTGAGTGCTATGCAAATTTTAAATTTTTTACCAGCCTCATAGGTTAAAAACAGCATTTTTTGTAGTTTTGTTTTTTATTTCCTAAATTACAAGTGAATTTATACACCTTTTGCTTTGTTAACCAGCTCTTTGCATTTTTTCTTTGAATGTCTTATTCATAATTGAACCCTATTCTATTAGGATTTTCATTTCTCCTATATGCATTTTTATGAATGCTGTGAAAATTGATATTTTACTAAAAGAACAAATAGAGGTATTCTTGGGTGATAAATTGTTTTTCTATTATAGAACAAGCTTTCTTGGAAATTTTTAATTTGGCTAAGTACCCCATTCAAGATTACCACAGAAAGGTGTGAGCAGAAAATTTGTTCTTTCACAACTATTCGTAGAATTATTACAATTTTGGTCTTCCTTGTCAAACATTACTTAGTGAAAGCCTCAAGAATCTGAGCATGAGAAGGGTCCATGAGATTGAATATACAATAGGACACCTAAAAAATGAAGTTCTGGGTTAGGCCATTTCTCCACTTGAGATTCAGACTATGAAAGTTTAATTGAGTTCTTCAGAGATATTCCATGTATATTACCAACTATAGTTCAGAAACATTGAAAAAGGGCTAGGCATGGTGGCATATACCTGTTTTCTTAGGGAGGCAGATGTAAGATCACCACAAGTTCAAAAGCAACTTGGGCTACATAGTGAGTTCCAGGCCAGGAAGGGCTGTAGTGTGAAACCCTGTGTCAGTAAACAAAAAAAAAAAAATAAAACCAAAATATGAAAAACAATTCCAGAAACTTCTAAAAGACAAACCTGAAGTTGCTGCACAACTTAAAGTAGCATAGTATAGGCACACTCACTGATTCATGAACAGTATTCTGAGAGAGGGCCCAGCATATGGCAGTGGTGCCATCCCTGGGTTGGTGGACCTGGGTTATCTAAGAAAGCAGACTGAGCAAGTCATGATGAACAAGCCCATAATCAGCACGCATTCATGGCCTCTGCATCAGCTGCAGCCTCCAGGTTCCTGCCCTGTTTGAATCCCTGGCCTGACTCCCCTCAGTCATGGACTGTTACCTAGACATGTAAGCTTAAAGAAACCCTTTCCCTCCAAGTTGTCTTGGTCATGGAGTTTCTTTCAGCAATAGTAACTCTAACTAGGACAGAGAATGATGGATCAACTTCTTTGTTTTAAAAGTGCCTTATGTATTCACAAATTTCATAAAAAGATGAGTTTAGCCTCTGGATCTCTGGACTAGAAGCATTTATTTGTGTTTGCCTACCAATAGGAAGGCATATTAGTGCATATTCCTTCAAGATGATATTGGTCAGCAACATGGAAAGTCACAATATGCAGTATGACTTGACAGAGTAGGCAGGATTCATTTATTTAAAAAAAATAGTTCTTTTTAGCCGGGCATTGTGGTGTATGCCTTTAATCCCAGCACTTGGGAGGCAGAAGCAGGTGGATCTTTGTGAGTTTGAGGCCAGCCTGGTCTCTAGAGTGAGTGACAAGACAGGCTCCACAGCTACACAGAGAAACCCTGTCTGGAAAAAACAAAAAAAAAAAAAAAAAAAGGTTATTTTTTAATTTGGAGATGCTATCCATTGAGGGCTTTTGCATAGTAATATTTACCTTTCATTATCTTCCCTTTTCATCTGGGTACTTTTTTCTAAAATAGATGTGAGGGAAGTGAGCCCGTGTAGATCTCTATCACAGTTCTCCCTTCTGAGGATTCGTGACATTATTCGGTACAATGTTCTTTCAAGGGATACTACAAAGTAGCATGCAAACTATATTCCATTGACTACTTTAATCACTACATCTAGAGGGCTTTCCTATATCTTCAGGTCTCATCTCAGCATTGCCAGGTGCTGTTTACTAAAACTAATCCATGGGAAATGATACAAGAAAGATTTACTTGGATTTTCCTCCTTAAAAATGGAAGAAAATGGATAGGGAGGTTGCTTGGTCGGTAAAAGGCTTGCCATAAAAGCAAGATGGCCTGAGTTTAAATCCCCAGAACCCACAAAAAATAAAAAAATATTAAAAAGCTGGGTGTGGCAACAAGAGCCTATGGCCACAAGTACTGACAGGACAGAGACAAGAAGATCTCAGGAATTTGGGAGCTAGTCAGCCTGTCTGAAATGACAAGTTTCATGTTCAGTGAGAACTACCCTCCAAAAATTTGGTAGGGAACATTGACTCCTCTTCTGACTTCCACATGCTTGAACATAGTATCTATGTGTACACACACACACACACACACACACACACACACGTACACACACACGCACTGTAGAGGGAGGTTGGGATGAAATGAAAAATCTATGTACTAGAAACACATTTGCTTTTATAAAATGTTTAAACCTTACTAGTCTTCTATCTATATAGCTATGTGCAAAATTAAAAAGTCTCATTAAATAGCATGCACTGGGTGTTGTGGAACTCTGTCCTCTAGACATTGCTTGGCTGTTCAGTCTTTCAAATCTTAGCAAGATTATTTATCCAAGACCCTCACAAGGCTGTTCCCAGTAATACTTCTTCATGGAGCTTGTGTATAGACTTGGAGAGGCAAATCAGGAGGTACAAGAGTTCCACCTTTCCCTGATGATGTTTAAGTGGTTAGTGTAGCTGCCTGGAAGGAATCCCATTTAAACTCCTTATTTTCCAATGTGGACTTGGGTTGAACGGTTTCCTGGGGCACTGTTGCCCTCTCTTGACTGAATAGAAAAAGTGCAAGCGGGAGAAATTGGACAACAAAACAGTTCCTACCTGTCAATGTAGAGTGCAGTATTGGGCTAGGGAGTCATTAAATTGTTCCTTTAACACAAGATGTATAGTAAATGCTAAGAAGGATGTGAGCACTGTGAACGAATATTTAGTAAAAACAATACCTGATGTGATATATTTTGGCGTGGTGAGCTGAGAAGATGTCAGGAAAAGTGTCAACAGAGGAACTGACATTTCACGGGTACTTTCAAAGTATCAAGTGTGAACAAGGGCAAGAGCCAAGGGGCTAGAGTAACACAGAGCAGGGACTGGAGCAGTCATGAAGGAGACACAGCAAAGTGCATGCAAGGAATTAAAAGTTAACCATGATTGGAGAGTAGTTCGAATGAGAGAGAAAGTGACACGATGAAGTAAAAGATAAAACGTGACTCAGGCGTAAATGCTTTGTAAATGGTGTTCTCTGTTTCCAAGTGGGGGTTTCCAGAGCATGTTTATTTTTAATGTGTGGTGTCTTATAAAAGTTATTACTTCTACAGGGAAATTCCTCTTTCCTGGAAACTTGAATCCTAGCACCGGAAAAGACAATTTTCCTTTCTTCTTTGAAAATACTACTTATGGAGTGGATTTTGCAGGAGTCATGTTAGCTTAAGTCTGCTCAACTGCATTTTTTCATACTTTATACTTTATTTATCCTGTTAAATAAGAGAGCTTGTAAAACAAAGGTTTCGAGACCTAATCCTAGGAGTTCATAGTTTTGTGGCTTGCTTGGAGCCTAGAATGTGCATCTGTGTTCCTGATGCTGCTCTTCTGGGGTCAGCACTTACAACACTTCTCATGTTCAACTTAGAGAACTCCTTGAGCCATTGGAATTGATGGCCAAGAATTTCAGCTGAATCTTGGAGAACTTTATAGGCTAGTGGATTTTGATCCCATTTAAA